TCTTCGAGAGGTGAACGTTGAAACCGGAAATCCGTTCTCCTTTGGAACCTCCCTCTCTCCTTCGTTAGATCCCATCTCTCAAAGTAACGGTTAGGTGAACAAACCTCGGAAAACTTTTCTCCGGTAAAGATAATTTGGGAAACAGAGACAGCAGACGGGGAAGGAGCAGAGGGAGAAGGTGGAAACCTGAGAGGGGCTCGGTTCGTCCTACCAGTTGCTCCTGCAACTGTAATCTGAGCCGTCGAATTTCGAATTCACGAGGATTGATGACGTGGAAGAAAATCGAACGGTCCTTGTTTAATATTGCTGTGATTCTGTGGTTCTGAATGCGGCGCTCGACCTGCCTTTCAGGCATTTTTCTTCTATCACGTGATTATCACGTGCGAAGTTATGGGGTATGCTTATGGCGATTGGCGAGTAAGGAATAGTGACTGGGAGTAGCACGTGCGGGTAGGACACGTGTAATTGGGTCGGATCGGGTTGATCCGATATTAAAAATGGGCCGCTTAATTTGATCCAATCGGGTCACATCGAGTCGGCCTAATTTTAATGAGTAAATTTATAACTAAGATGATAACGTGAATTTGTTACTAATATTTGCTTTCTTGTGTTCTGATAAGTTGTTATATAAAACGTTGGTATCGCTTCAAGTTATGTTATTCAATTTAATAATTATAACAATAACCAATAATTTACATATAACAATTATCATAATGTTTATTATGTTGATTTATCGTTTTTTGTGTTATTATTAGTGCGCACAAATCACGTAATTATTATAACATATGAATATTTGTTGTATTGTTATTATTACACACATGTAAAAATTAATTCTCACACTTTTTTTTTTTTAGTTTTACGATATCGATTGTAATATATTATTTTTATATTACTATTTTAAGTATCATATAATTTTTTTAATAATAAAATAAAAATTATATTTTTAACATGTTATAACTGTCGTATAAAAAAAAATATAATTGCATCATAATATTAATTTTTTATCTGTATATGTTATGACTCATTATATAAAATTTAAAAGTTATAAGTTGACCACTGTTACCTCACAATCAACAACAAACTTATAAATTTTATGTATTTAATGAGTTTTAAGTTCGTGATATTCAAATATAACGCAATAATTTTAATAGTTAAAATAATTTTGTAGTAACTTTACTATTTGTTCTTTATTTAAATTAGTCAATCAATCAATTTTTTTGTTAAATTAGTCAACGTACTTTTGAAAATATTTAGTTTAGTATATCATAATTAATATAAGTTAATAATGTTAACTTATGTATTACATGTAAAATTTATTGACATATATTATCTTATCAATTAAAATATTAGTTGAATATCATATTAAATATCGTGTGAAATTTTTAATTGAAATAAGGCTAAGCCCAAATGTATTGGTACATCAAGCATTGACGTCACCTGCACCATTTAAGATATTTAGAGAGAACCTATTGATACTATATTCATTGTCTATTATAAAGATACATACGGCATCACCTAGAAAGGTGTTAATATTTTTGTCTCAATGGTTCCATAAACATTTTTGCATTTGAAATTTAATTTAAATACAATGATAAAATGATCTTTTACTCTTTTTATGGGTTTATATATATTATCTATTTTTTGTATTTGAAAAATTTGTGTATTATAATATCCACTACCATCGTTTTATACTATAAAACTTAAAATGAGCTTCAAAAAGCTTATTACTCACAGACGAACTAGGAAAATCTCATTCAATAACATCACACTTAAATTAGATATGAAAATGGACATACGAGATATTTGATTTAGATAAGTCACTCACAACAAAGTTAAGTATTATAGTCATTAGTATAACATGGGATATTGGTGTAAACCACTTCTTACTCTTACTCAGCTTATTTTTCTATAGTTCTTAACGATAATAGTGATGCATTCGCCAATGTTGATGATGACAACTCTTGATTTTGATTTGTCTCTAATGAATTTGTTGATAACTTATTTTTTTGTTAGAATCTCACACTATAAGAGATGAACACCTGATAACTCTCGTAAAAGAGCTCATGTTTCTTTAGAATATCTTGCATTTGATGTTTGATTCCACATCGTTAATGATTCAAACGTGAGAAATAATAGAGCTCTAAGTTGAGATGAATAAAATACGACAAAATAAGCAATAGAAATAGCCTTAACAACTTTTTTATAGATTTAACCCATCAAAATGAGTGCGACATGACGCGATGAGATGACATTAATGTGTAGGCTACATGTATAATTTTTAAAATAGTTTAATTTTATACAATGCCGTCACTATATTATTATCGTACATATAATATTTAAACGATATTAATTAACTATAATTAATAGAGATTTTTGTTAAAAATTTCAAAATTTCAAGATTAATTTAGACAAAAAAATTAGTACAAAGTAAAAAATTGATATTTTAGCAAATTAAAAATTATAATTTAATGGATAAAAAAAAGTGACACTAAATTATTTATTTAATGTTCATTTTATATAAATACAATATGTTAGTTGTAATTTTATTTTCACTAAAATATATTAAATTAAACAAAAAGAAAGAAAAAATATTATAAAAAAAATAAGAAATAAAAACAAAGTTAATTAAAAATGTAAACTAAATAATGGAAATAAAAATTAAAAAAGAAATGACGAGTTAGGTTGTCCCTGTGCGCTTGCTCGGGACGAGAACGAGCGCGGTGTCAGTCGGTTACAATTGCTGCAGTTTTCACCGGAGGCGGCAGCTTAGACTCATTATCCGGCGTCGTTCCGCCATCACTTCAGTTCCTGTATGGTTAACCACTCGCTGATTCTACTCTACTGAAGAAGCCCAACCTCAGCCTCGCCACTTACGGTATTCCTCTCTGTGTTATTACTAATTCATCAGAATGTTAGTGCTTTTAGGTTTAAGATCGTTACTATTTGGCTCTCAACGAATGAAATTTGTATGTAGAATTGAATCAATCACTGTTTCCGGTTATTTTTTTGGTTAAATTGTCTGGTCTGCGAGAAACATGGTGAAACCTCAGGTACCAATATAGATTGATTATGTTAGTTCCACATTCAGAAACTAAATTAACAATTTCCTTCGTGTAAATTGAGCTTATTGGCTAGTTTTTTTCTTGCATGGTACTGATAGGGTAAGCTCTTAATATGGATTTGTTAATAACACTTGCTTTTGCAGTTTCCCAGCGAGCGTTTTGGCTGTCTATCTCTCTAATGGCAGCCACAAACTCTTCCCCCTCTTTGGAAATTCTAGGTACTTATTCATATTTGTGTCTAGAATTAACCATGAAAATGTTATTTCTTACCACTCTTTTAATTTTTTATCAGTTAGAGAACCAGAGGGATTCTCGGTATGGAATGGTCCACCATTCAGCAACAATCAACCCAATGTAAAGCTTGAGAAAGTACCCTGCACTAGTGCAACTTTTAGCAGTGACGGGTCCACACTCATGGTGATTAAATCAGACTGTGTAATCAGCATATATGAATGCAGCAACCTCAAAGAAATAAGATCATTTCAAGTCCCAGCCGTAGCTGCTGCAGCATTGTCTCCATGTGGGACTTATCTCCAGACCTTTCAGAAATCCTCATCACCACAGGAAAAGAATGTCGTCCTATGGAAGATAGAGACTGGTGATCCTGTTTATAATCAGTTTCAAAAGAACATGACAAAAGCCACATGGTATGTGCAACAAGGAGTTAAAAACAGAAAATTTGAATCATTAGGTGGTGATGGTGACTTATGTACCTATGTACACATATTTTGTTGTAAGTTTTGACTATGTTAAGGTCTAGTAGGGTCTGTGGTCAAGTATCTCACTGCTTTTCATTGATCTAATTCTTTGTTTATGCGTGTGGGAGTGGATGAAGATCTGCATATGTGTTAATACCTGATACTTTGTTTTTTTCTTATATACATTTTTAATTATTTATGTACCTGTGATTCAGGCCTTCAATCAGGTTTAGTGCTGATGAGGCAGTTGCATGTCGGCTGGTAACAAATGAAGTTCAATTTTTTGATGGTAGAGATTTCTCTAAAGGAATTGTACGTCGGTTGAGAATTCCAGGGGCGGCATCATTGGAGCTATCTAAGACACCTGGTTCCTATGTAGCGGCTTTTGTTCCAGAATCTAAGGTGTGTGTTCCCCTTTTTTGTTCTGACTGGGATTTACAATAAACAGAGAGACCCTTGGTTCCTTGCGAATAATAATTACATGACTTGTAAACCAAAAGGTGTATACCTAATGTGGTTAGGGCTTTTTTCTGCTCAAACTAACTTGTAATATTTTTTGAATAGAATAGGCGCAAACACCATCTATGGTTTGCAATTGCTCTTTGGAATTTTCCAGCGTTTTCATTCTCCGGATTTGTGCTTCAAAACTTTTGTCAACCATCTTGCTATGGTTGAAAATTTGAAGCTTCAAAGTGTTAGAAGGTTTGGTTGCGAAACATCGGGCTAGTCAATTACCTGAAAAATTTGTCAAATTTAAGTTTTAAACTTTATTGGAAATTGCAAGTGGGAGGTGTAATAAATTCTCAATTTATTTTTAACACAGGTGACACCTATACATATTCAAAGTGGCTCATAAGATAACCTAGGCTAGAGAGATAATTTCAGTTACTTCTGGATTGGTGTCATGCTAAAACTTCCATTTGGATTTTCAGGTTCCTTTTATTTATAATTCGGTCTTTTTTTTTGTTGTTTAAAATTATTGTAGGGGAGTCCAGGAAGTGTTCAGATATTTGCATGTGAAAATGACTTGCAGAGTCAACCTGTTGCAAGACGTATCTTTTTCCGATGCTCTAGCGTGCAACTGCATTGGAATCATGGTTCTACCGGTGTCCTGGTGGTGGTGCAGTCTGATGTTGATAAAACCAATCAAAGTTATTATGGAGAATCGAAGCTAAACTACCTTACAACTGATGGGACCCATGAGGGACTTGTGCCTCTTCGTATGTTATGAATTATTTTGGTTCACATTTCAACCGGATGCAAATTACTGATTCTTGGGCATGTTGGCAGGTAAAGAGGGGCCTATTCACGATGTTCAATGGTCTCATTCTGGTTCAGAGTTTGCTGTTGTTTATGGATGTATCCTTTCTTTAATATCAACAATATAATCTGATAGTATATTTGGTGAAGACATGATTCTTGATACATACTCACTATATCATGGTAAGCTATTATGTAGAGATCTTTGTTCATGCATGCCTTTCTTAATATATGTGTTTATATTCATATCTAAATTATTAATATGTTTCTACTTTAAAATAGAGAAGGCGCTGTTTCTTGTTGGCCTCACTTAAGCATGTTCAAAATATAATAATATTATCCAGATTTCTAGTTTAGAAAGAACTTTCAGAAACTTTTATGGAGAGTAAGGATGATGATCTTATGAATATGTTTAATTACTTAATATATATAGGCATGTAGCATGCATCCCATTATTGTGCTTGAAAGTATAGTGTTGTAGAGATTGAGAATTGAGTTGCTTCTATGGGATGGCCACTTTTGTTTTGGCTTTTTGTAATTAATTAATTATTTAACAATTTTTCTGAAAACAATCTACTACCATCTAATTGATCTTTGATAATCTCTAGTGTTTTTCTAAAATTTGTTTGTATGATATGAACATCATGTTGTGCCTTGACTTACTTCAGTTATGCCTGCAAGTGCAACGATCTTTGACAAGAAGTGCAAATGTTTATTTGAGCTTGGAATGGGCCCGTACAATACTGTTAGATGGAATCCAAGAGGGAAATGTATCCTTTTTAGGAAAGTTCTTGACCATTTTTAACAGGTCACAGTATCTTGAATTTACTCACTTGCTGACATTGTGGACTTGTAACCTTAATTATGTGGCCTGCAGTTCTATGTTTGGCGGGGTTTGGTAATTTACCTGGTGATATGGTATGTTAGTGAAATGCTTACACTGTTCTTTTCTTGGTTGATAAATTTTGTGATAATCTAGATAACCCTTTTTTCTTTTTCTTGCTATCTGCTTCACTGATTTTACTTACCCACTCCTCAATTTCCCAATTTATTTCAGTGATAGACTTTTCTTTAAAAAGAAAAAACTTTTTCCCGTCTTATCATATTGTTGAATAAAATTAATAATATAAGGAGATGTAGTTGGGTTGAAAATTAGATCACCAGCCTTGTTTCTAAGAAGTTATTTGATAATTTTTCTGAAAGTAGCATGCTTTTTGTTTGAGAATTCTTGTGGTTTCTGATTTATTGCCTGCCAATCTTCTTGTTGGGTTCAGGTTTTGAGTTGATCCTAGTAGCAAATGATGGTAAATAGTATCTAGCATCCTTGATCTTTACTGTCAGTCCTATTTCACTCCACTTTTTTTATTGTTGCCTCTAGTTATATCCTTTCTTATAAGACACTAACCTGTGTAGATCATTGACCTTCTAAGAATGTGCTGAAATCATTAGATTTTGTTTCTAATGTATATAATTCTTGTCTAAGAAGGATGGAAAATATGTAGAATCATTTATTGAAATAGAAAGCTCTGCTTTTAAAAACTGGGAGAAAATTTAGAAATATTATCATCTTCATGATTATTGTTATTTTATTATTATTATTATCATCATTAAAATTCTTTTGAAGGACACACACATAATGTGCGTGTTTGAGTGAGGAAACAATAAATGTCATCCTACATAGCACACAGCGAGGTAGAAAACATTATTACGGTAAAAGATTCCAGATGAACTGGAAAATGCTGATTGTCCATAAGAAATCTTGTATTATGGACGAAGCAATTTAGATTACTCTAATGACAATCTGAATGAAATTGCTTCTTAATTAGAAGAACGGCATTCTATATTTTATTTATATTCATCGGATCTTTTTGGGAGAAAAAAGAGGAAATACATAAAAGGATTATTTATAACTTTCAAATTTTTGGTGTTTTTTCAAAGAGAGAAAAGGTAGTTCACAAAGAAGCACCAAAGGGTGCCACTTATTCACAAAAACACAAAGATACAATATTTATTGAAAGTAACAGGTCAATTAGGTCTCTAGAACATCTTCTCATGGATGGGCTGCCCTCTAAACAGAACGTAGAGTTTCCGATTTATGGTGTTGAAGAAAATTTCTAAATAGAACTCCAATGCTACTCTTCACTCCCAATAAAAACAAATAAAAAGTGAAGGACTGAAGTAATTAAAAATTCAGGGATATGTGGTAGATTTTACGTTAAAATTCTATTGTGTGTCCAACCTGGTATTTCTCAGATCCTTGTGATGAAAGAGAAACTGGTCTTCCATGGTATTGTTTTGCACTCTAAGGATCTCTGTGCATTTGAAGTCTAGCCAGTGTATAGCAACCTGGCATCTAGTACTTTAAAAATTATCTATAATTATTACTGAATAATTATTATTCAGTAATCTGAATGTCTTGGCACATAAGGTTAGGTTTTTTTGTTTCAGTAACGAGTCTGCAAAATTTTCTAATACCTTGTTTTTATGTCCATGGCTAATGGTATTAGCTTCCGATCACTTAGTTTTTCTTAAAAAAAGAATTATTGTTTACTTATTCTAATTTACATTTTAATGTTTATCATTCAGGCGTTTTGGGATGTTATAGAAAAGAAGAAGCTTGGAACAACTAAGGCTGAATGCTCTGTAACAAGTGAATGGTCTGCAGATGGACGCTATTTCATGACTGCTACAACTGCTCCAAGACGTCAAGTTGACAATGGGTATGTCCAATGTTTTCTTCATACACCGAGGATGGTGAGGAGGAGGTCTATTTTGTTGGTTCATATTATTATATTATTATGCTGATGCTAACCAAATTATTAACATAGTTCTCCCTTGTCTTTTGTTGGCAACAAAATCTTTATGCCATAGGTAAGTTATGCTTAAACTATTGGGTCATAAAATTTGTAATTTTCATAGAAACACTTAACAACTGGCTGATCTAAAAGATACTTAAATGATTAGTTGCAAGCTGATGAGAATTTGTGAAAGCTTGAAACGTCGTATTTGCAAGCCCTTGGAAATAGTGCAATTTTTATGTATTATGATAGCTTTGAGAACAATCCATGGCTCCAAGTAGATTGGTTTGTGGTGCTGTGTAGTTTTGTTTGTTGGCAATTGTTTTCGGTAAAATGCCATATCCAATTACGTATGGGTGTACGTGAATTATTTGAAGAGTACCTACAGTAGAAAAGTTTTCTGATTTTTTTTTTACTTTGCGGTTGAA